CTGCAAGTGGAATTATAGATGGGCTATAAGCTGTGGTGCAGGCAAAGGGAACCAAACCCTGTCTCCTGCAAGAGCAGCAAGTGTCCTAACCACTGAGCCACAGCACTTCGGACAGTACAAATGGCTTTACCACTGTGTCCCTTACAGCTAATTCTGGGCTCTACCTAAATATTCTGTCCTTACTGCCTGCGGACAGCAGACACTTCTCACAAGAACCCACCTGCCTGAGCTGCCAAGGCCTTATCAGAGTCAGGGCTGTGCAAATATGCATATTTCCTGCCCGCCGCCTCCCTTCCTCTCCACACACTGGGGCTCTAGCCACGGAGGCAGCTCCGATTTGCGGAATGCTCTGGCTGCCTGCCCTGACACTGAACTCCTCTGGGTGGGGCAGCAGGCTGCGGGGTGCAGAATCTTGACTCTGGAATGTACTTCCTCATAGAGGTGCCAAGGCCTATGCCTGGCAGATGCTAAACACAATGACCTTTAAGCTACCAGACAGTTATTATTCCTGACTGAGAGGTGAGTCCGAGGCTCTACACTCACGGAGAGCTGGGGTGCAGGTTAAATGGGGCAAGTCATCTACTCAGACTGAACTGTTTTCTCTTCCCAAGTACTAAAAGAATGTCTTCTAAGGTAAAAAGCGGTGCATGTAAGCTAAAAACACAAACGAGCAACAACCACCTCTAATCGATTGCTACTTGTTAATTATACAAAAATGTGAAATGAGAGGTGGGAATATATGCTGATAATTGCAAAAGCTGTAGTTCTAAGACTTTATTGGGTGATCACATTAAGAGGAGTCCATCTATAAACAGTAGTTGGCCTTATTAGAGTAAAAAAGAATCTATGTCTTCTTTAAACTATAACTCCACTTCTGCCAAATACAGGGCAAGCCCTAAAAAAAAAAAACAACCCAAAACCACAATCTCTATTTTAAAAATTGTTAAGCTTGGTCTAGTAGGACAGTCCAAGGCTACTATGGACAATTTATCAAGACCCTTCCCAAAACAAAAAAAATTATTAAAAAAATGTGTTCTTACTCTGATGTTTTAATTCTATGTAGGTGTGTGTGTCTGTGTGTGGCCCTGGAGCTGGAGTTATAGGTGACTCTGAGCTACCTGCCATGGGTGCTGGCAACTGAACTCTCATCCTCTGGAAGAGCAGCAAGTTACTCTGAACTGCTAAGCCATCTCTCCAGTCTCCCAAAATAAAAATGGAAAAGAAACAAACCTGGGGATATAATTCAGTGGTAAAGCATTCGGTCCTCGGTTCAATCCCCAGTACTGCCAAAATAAAGAATCAGCTTCTGCCATTTCAATGGTGAAATTTTTCAAATATTTTAAGCAAGGTTATTTATTAAGGTAATACCTTGTTTCCTTTTAACCAGTGGAATTTAGGCTTTTTTTTTCCCTTTTTCTTCTTCAAGTTCTAGGGATAAAATCCAGAGCCTGATATACTTTAAACTGTACTGTATCCCCAGCCTAGTTTTTTAAAAAAAACTTTTTTTTTTTAACAAAGAAGAACTACTGCTCTTTCCTGGCCGGTTAGTGGTGGCCGTGTCCTAGCAACAGAGACATCTGTGCTGGAGAAACCAGTATGAGAGGGAGAACACAGCTGGCGAGGAGGATTCTCTGGGCAGCTGGGATTCTAGGAGGCCTTTCTGTAGACCCCACCATCTCATCTCTCTCAGAGCAGTTTCACAGGGACGGCCCTCCTCCACAGGGCCTGTGGGGTTGGAGAGGAAAGCTCACAGTGATCGCTGAGGGTGAGACGAGAGGGCTCTCCTCAAACATCTGCTTCAACTTAGGACCCCACCACCACCACTCTCCTCCCACAGCAGTGCGGCCACTGGAAGGCTGCCCTTGCCGGGGTGGGGGGTGATCCCACACCTATGTGCGTATGAGCAGCATTAATTAGACTTTGAGTTAAAAAGAACAACAACAACCAAAAGAAATAGGAAACGGGGGTGTGATGATGGGAGGGAGATGATATTTATGACGTTTCAGAAGTACAACAGAGTGGAAAGTTTGTTTGTTAATCTTAAGCACAGGATGGTTAGCCCGACGGGATTGCATAAAAAGATATTACATAAAATGATGGTACAATATGTTAAATAAAACGTAAGACCAGGCGTTAGAAGACTAGAGGTGTATGCCTAAGACCCTGACTTCACTGATTTACTATGTGATTGTAGAAGCTCTCTGTGTGACCTTGGGTTGACCCAGTTTTCCTTGGCTGTACTAACTGTAAAGTGTGTGGGAAATGTCATGTGCTGAAGTAGGAAGTGTCTGACACACCCAGCCCTTATTCCTGTGCCTCCCAGGGAAGGTGACATCCTGAGTTAGAAAGGCCCTTCCCAGGACAGCCTCGGCTCTTCTCCTCTTCCCTGAATGCTGGATGCAGGTCAGAGCTTTAGCCCGGTGCCTCTGTGACCATCTGAGTATAGAATGCAGGGTTGTGTTGGAGTCCCTTTTGGAGTCCCTCAGGTGTGGCAGAAGTGAGGCAAACTCAGTTAAGATTCCACCTGCCCCATGAAGCATGACTAAGCCCCGAGAGACCAGCTCACAGGGGATTGTAGGCTTCTTTTGCCCCTTGCTTCTTACTTAAGTAATAAGTAATACATCCATTTCATGTGACTGTCTCAGTGTGTTCTATCCCAATGGACTCATGACAAGCAGTAAAACCAGTGCACAGCAGATTAGCTCCACAGTAATCCTGACCCAACTATTTTTGGAATCGTAGGGCCCTTTTCAGTGAAACAAGGATTATAGTAAGGTACTCTATTGCAAATTTAAGCCATGGTTTATTTTTGCCACTACAGAATCATCAAAAACGATTGTGTCTCCCAAGACCAATGGGAGGAGGAAACCTAAGGCTGAACAGATTAAAATGACTTTAGAAATGGTAAATCAAGTGTCATTCATATATCTAAGAATCAACAAACTCACTCACTCCCTGCATGGCCTTAGTGTGAGGCTAGAACAAAGAAGTGAACGCCAAAACGATACATCAAGGTGGGCTTGGTGGGAAATGCCTTTTAGCCTCAGCATTTAGGGGTAAATCGAGACAGATCTCTGTGAGATCGAGGCCACCCTGGTCTACATAGTGAGTTCCAGGACAACCAGAGCTATAAAGACTGACTCTGTCTTAGAGAGGAAAGGAAGGAGGGAGAGAGGGAGGGAGGACTGAGGGAAGGAGGGAAGAAGAGAGCAAGGGATGGACGGGACAAGGACAAGGATAGGAAAGGAAGGTGGGCAAGAAGGCAGGCTGGCTACAACCAGCTCTCACACAAAGGCTTGATGTTGATTTTTATTATTAACAATTCATTTCAAAGAATAAAGCAGAAATGGGCTTTATCCCTAAACAGAAAGGTTTAGCTCCTAGGACCATGTTTTCCTCTACTGTAAAACATAAATAGACTTTTTCCCCCCGGGCCCTGCCTTCCAGGGTTATTATGAGGCTTAAAAGAGGTGCTGCATGTGTAAGGCTTGGAGAGGACCAGACGAGGCTGGAGAGGTGTTCTGGAAGAAAATTCTGTGAGCTTTGGGCATCAAAAATTAAAATGGACTGATTGGGTGGCTTTATTAAAGAAATAGTATGCACCAGCAATACAAAAACTCTAAACAGCACCATGTCCACCAACAGCAAAATAGAAAATCTGACAAGCGGGAGAATGAATACTCAATACTAGGAACCAGCACTTTGGTGTTCTGTATACAGAGGTGATGAGAAGAACCAAGACCCAAAAGAACACACGCCATGATCCAGTCACACAACATTAAACACATACCAGATAAACTAACTAAACTTGCTCAGAAAAGGGCTATACAAGCAGTAAAGTCACGGTGTGAAAATAAATAATTATCTTTTATGATAGTTTCATTTCCTCTGACTGGACAGATGGACTGGTGATAGCGTGATTGGGGAACTGCTTCAGAATTTTGAGCATTGATAGTCCAGTTAAACTTCATATGTGTACAGATACCCATAGACAGACATATGGATGTCTGTCTATGATTTCATGTATATAAAAATAAAGAATAGTAATAATTTTAAAAGGCTGTTCTGGGTTCCGTATAATTATTTCAACAATGCTTTCTTATTTAAAAAAATAAAGACTTTTTATTAAAAGTTATTTCAGTTCAATCTCACATCCACTAAATTAGGAAATTACTCACTTAAAATAAAACTCCTCCAAAAATAAAGTATAGTCATTGGAAAATAAAACGCCTCCAAAAATAAAGTATAATCATAGGGAAGTCATGGCTACTCCCAGGACTGCTCTGTCTGCTTATTGGTAATTCCTGATCAATATCCAGGTATGGTGAGCAAACAAGGAATCCCAGCACTTGGGTGGTAGAGAAGAAGATCAGGAGTTCAAGTCCAGCCTTGTCTACAGAATCCAGACCAGGCTGGGATATATGAGACCCTGTTCCTCCAAAACACAGAAAATAACAATAGTAATGTTAAGTAATAATAGTTATTGGTGGTTTGAAACTTTCCAAACTAAAAATTCTAGTATTAGAAGCAAAGGGGGATGGCCGAGTGGCCAAGGCATCTGCCGTACAAGTGTGAGGACATGAGTTCGAAACCCCTGGTCCCAAGTAAAAACACTGGGTGTGGTCATGCACCTGCCATCACTGTGTTCCTGCCCCAACATGGGAGGCAGAGTCAGGACGATCCCCAGAAATTCAGAGGCCTGCTAGCCTGGTATACACAGCTATGAACAACCAAAAAGAGACCCTGTCTCAAACAAGATAGAAAGTGAAAACCAACACCCAAAGTTGACCCAACCCCAATGTGTGCATACAGTCATGTACACAAATGTTAGCATATACATGTACACACATATACGCACACACACACACACATCAAGCACTCAAAAGATAATAAAAAAAATTAAAAGCTTATATATCTGTAGTCACCATGTGAGCACATTTTATACACCAGCCTAAAAGAAATAGCTGGATCATTTGAATGCCCGGGGGTTGACTACTTACCAGCTGGCTGAGTTTGCGCTACCCTCTTGGGGTAAGTCTTGCTTCGACTTCTTGCCACGTTCTGATTGGGCCGGGGAAGTTGAATAGAAAGATCTCGGCTCATCTGCAAAGCTGTCCTGCCACTTGAAAATGTGACATTTTGATTAGCAAAAGTAATAAATATGGCCACAGAATTAAGCAACAGTCCAGTAAGAGTCTCTTTCAAAGAAGAGGAAGAACAGCACAGGTGCAACAGGACACGAACATACAGAGGTTTTTAATTGATAACCAAGAAAGTAGCCCTAACCTAAGGGAGGGGCTATGTCAGGTAAAAAGAAGAGCTTGCGGAGGGACCGGGATGGGATGATTTATCAAAGGTTAGGTTTATGTTTAGGTAGGACAGGATAAAAATAAAGGTTGCCGATGGTCTTGGGGTTCATAGCTGAACACCAGAGAAGTCATGGTGGGTGACTATGAAAGGGCTGGAATTCTATAAGCCTGTCCTGTGCTGGGCTCACACAGCAAGTTGTAAGGTGTCCCCTGCAATAGAGCAGTGTGATTTTTGTCTCTGAGCTCTGGCACAGTCAGTCATTTATTATATCCCTCGCTTAATAAACCATGTGTTCAGAAAGAGAGAAAACAGACCTAGAAGTCCACATGGAGTTTGCTTCTCTAGAGGTCATGTGAGGATCTGGAGCCCAAGCTTCCTTCCCTGAGCTGGCATTCTGGTTTAAATCTCTCTCTCTCTCTCTCTCTCTCTCTCTCTCTCTCTCTCTCTCTCTCTCTCTCTCTCTCTCACACACACACACACACACACACACACACACACACACACACACACACACACACCACACACACGGCTTATATGTTGAAGGTTTGGCCCCAGCCAGTGGCCGATATGAGAGTTGACTAGGTTGTGAAGCTAATCATCTCAGCCATGGGTTAATCCATTGGTCAGTTCATAGCCCAACAGATTGCTAGAAGGCAGGGCCTAGTTGGAGGAAGTAGGTCACTGAGGTGTGCCTTCTGAGTGAATATGAATAATATACATATGGACCCAGACCTATCTGTCTCCTCTCTCGTCCTCCTTCCTGACCAACACCCTCTTTAGCAAGCATGAGATCATCAGTCTCTCCCACCACAAACTCCCACTGCCATGAGGTGCCACCTCACTAGGGACCCAAGGTAATGAACCCAGCTAACCTTCAGCTCAAATCTCTGAAACTCACCAAAATAAACCGGTCCTCCTCTAGCTTAGAGGGCTCTATGTGCAGAGGCTCTTTTTCTGAACAGCTTAAAAAAATCCCACAGAAAGACAAGATTCCATTATCACATATGGTTTGGAGCATAAAGATCAGGTCTACCTACTCCAGACTTTCTCCGACATCACAAAGGCTTGGATAGTGTGTACCTCACTTCACAGAGGAAAAAACATTTGTCATAAAAATATAACTAAATGTGCAGACCACTGGGGCATTTTATAACAAAATTATGTTTTATTATTCAATTTTTCTTCATAGTTTCTTTCTCAGGAACAAAGTAATAGGAAAATAACTTCCCAAGATTAATAAGACTAAGGTCCAGAAATGTCACCTAATCTACTTCAGGCTATACAAGATCCAGGTTGAGAACGGCGTTCAGACTCCCCATCTGGTCAACACCGATCAGTCTGCAGGCACGGAGGAACAGAACACTTAGCTATTTGATTTGAAATTCCAAGCCCCGTGGAAAACTCAGATCTGCCTTTCCCTAGCCTGTGGTCTTTGAGACTGCTTTTAAAGATCTCCGCAGCCCCCTTTCACCGGCTGTATTATACTACACCCCTTCTTACAGTAGGCTGTTTCTCTGTAGTCTCAAGTAGTGGGCATGCACTTATGACATTCCCCACTTCATGTCTCCTCACACCCTTGGCACATCCATCTTCTCTATTCTGGCTGGCAAAGTCCTTGAGCATCACCATGAAGGAGAGGGAGGGAAATAACGGGGAGAGTTGCCTGGCTTCACAGAGCAGATTTGCTGTATACGGGTCCTAAGCCTAATGACTTTCCCAGGGGAGGGCTCCAATTTCTATCCTGCAATTGAGGACAGGATACCTCTTTGGTGGGCCACTGTGCAGATCAAGTACACAGAGCCTGGGAAAGCACCCAACACCACATAGGCAGTCCTGAGAACTGGGTCTCTTCCACACTCCATGAAATTTGAGAGCGCCTACGGTTCAATCCTAGAGGGAGGATGCCTGCTTCTCAGACCTCCTCCGAAGTCAAGCAACCCATTCTTTCAAGGAACCCAACAACACTGAAGAGGAAAGGCTAATTCTCAAGAGACTCCAATAAGGAGATATCAATATGTAACAAAATACTTAATCAGAGATTTAATCAGTCTTCATTTCAGATTACTGGTCCCTCAAAATAAAAACAAGAGAATCAAAACATCAGGCTTCAGCTCAGTCCTCTTCCCAATTTAATTTTGAAACCTGATTGTCTCACATCACTTAAAATGTTTGATTTTTTTTCCTTCCTTCTTAAATCTTAACTAGTTTTCCTAAAAGATGCAAGAATCACCCTGGCATTCTGCAAGCCCTAAGACAGAAAAGAGAAAGACCAGAAAACTGTCTTCCTTTCCATACAGACACATCATAAGAGCCCCTGCAAACACACACACACACACACACACACACACACACACACACACACACACACACACACACACAAATACGCACGCACACACACTCACACATTCATAATCACACACACACACACACACACACACACACACACACACGTTCATGCATATGTGCACATGGAGGCATCCATATTCACACAATGCAGCCCTGAGACACAGCTCCTTTGCTACCATATCTCACAGCCTGCAAGAGGTGACTGGCTATTGTGCTCCAGAACAAAGAGGTAGGCATGTGATACTGGTTAAAAGGATGCTAGTTTGTCAACTCTTACCACTAAACAGTCTATATTAGTAGCCACCCAGCAATCAGAGACCTGTCCTGCCTGACCTCTGACCAGACAGATGAAACGCCTCTCTCCCACAAGTGGCACGAAGTTAGTACTTCTTATATACAAATAAATAGATTTGGGTTTCATTAAGATTTACCAGTCAGTTAACATTAGCCATGAAATCAGAGCAGATTTAGCAGAATGTCCAATTCTGCAAAGGTTACATTTAATTGCTTTCTTGGAAAAATTATATTTAATATGCAAAATCCAATAAAAATAATTTCTAATAATAATTCCCAGTAGCCACAATATTTGCATTTCAGTAAACTTGAGAAATCAGGTATGGCTATATTTGCAGATGCCAACTAACTCCAGCGTATGTTAAAGAGCATGATTATAATTTTAATCATCTAAGCACTAATAAGACAGATGCCTTTGCATTAGCTGCAGCCTGTTGACAAGGAGACAGATTTAAGCACTTTCTCTGTAGCCTTGGCAATATCATGAGTGGAAAAACAGCATAAATACTGGGTATTGACTGTTCTTCTCAATGTAAGAGTGTATACTACCTTCCTAAATATCTCATAATTATATTCTCATCTAAGGAAGAATTCTGAAAATCTGAAGGCTGAATATTTACATATCAACAAAAACCTTCATACAAAATCAGAAGTACCCAGAATAAATAATACTTTCCTTTTCGTCATCAAATGAGCGAATGCTCTACTAGACACCATATTCCGAGGAAGCACTGGGCATCTACAGCTGATCACTCTCAATGATTGTCTCTTGTCTCAGATCTAAGACTTCAGAGGGAGTCATTAAAGAGGAATTCAAATCTGGCACACTACAGTCCTGCAAACATGACTTCTGCCATCTTCTGTGGAAGCAGCTCAACCAGTGATGTCCCTAATCACCCGATGGAGTGGTCTCCCATCTCCTAGGTGGCATCTCCGCACCCTGCGTGGCTTCACTAGGCCTGGCAGCCTGCCTCTCTGCCTAAGGAACGCTGCATCTCTTTGATGGCAGAATGCTTAGAGCTGAGTCTTTGTATACCCGAGGCCCTAACAGCATTCCTTAAGCATCACAGCTTTCCACTGAACAGAAAGAACTGAAACATAGCCAATGCTTTTTCAAAATACAGAGCTCACTCTCACTTTTACTGCAGATAAGAAAGGCACCTAGCTGCCTGGTGGTCAGGTTTTCTCTCCACAGGCTGAGTCTGTCTAATAATCAAAGCACAGGCTGTGGAGTCCTGGGTCCCACTTCACTGCTTCTTAGCGAGGTTACTGTGAGGAATCCCGTGGAGTCCCTAAGCCTCAGTTTCTTCGGTGTAGATAATATCACAGAAGACCATGACAGTTAACTGAAGCAATAGGAAGTATTACACAATAAAGACAATATGCCCAGCAAAGTTGATATAAAGTAAGCATGACTATAAGCAGGTTTATATGTAAGTAAGTTATGTATGTAAAAGCGTGTTTTGATGCAGAATATAAATTGCTCAATATGGGATCAACTGAATATTCTAACATCACAACCAGTCAATTACGATCCAGAATATCTGCTTTGTTTCATAATCACAGAACATAATTGGAAATAACCGATAATTACAGCAAAATGAAATCCTGAATGTAATAAATTCTACCATGCTCTAAAAGCCCATAACTTTACATAGCTAATGGAGATGTTAAATACATTTAAAACTGGAAAGTCATTTCCGTCAAGGAAGATTTATTTATACAGTACATTGGCACCGCTGGTGGGGGGAGGAACCCACATATTTCATTATGCCTGTATGTAGGTAACGGAATTAAAAATTTATTTACATGCACAAACCCTGAGGGGGTGGGGGGATGCCATTTACCTGTACCGATGCTTATAACTTATGGACCCAAATTTGCTGAGTTTTCTTGACAATGAATTTGACTCCGTTTCTGGCATTCTAATTAATTTAAAAAAAGAAAACCAAAGACTTGTAAATATAAGCACGTATACAACATCTGAGCACAAAGCTATACAGAAAACTATTTAATAGAGACAACCAAAATATTTTACTTATTCTACATACTAGAAGGAAATAATAGTCAGCTATTATTTTGAAGATTTATTGTGTGTGTGTGTGTGAGTGTGTGTGTGTGTGTGTGTGTGTGTGTGTGTGTGTGTGTGTGTGTATGCCCACCTGAGTGCAGGTGCCTGTGGAGGCCAGAAGAGGGCGTCAAATACCCTGGATACAGAGTTAAAGGTGGTTGTGAGCTGCCTGATAAGAGTTCTGGGAACTGAACTTGGTTCTCTGCTAGGACCACAAGCTCACTGAACAACTGGACCATCTGTCCAGTCCAATAACCATAACCAGTTACTTTAACCTCAATTGCAAACACAACTCACTCATACTTTCTGAAGTTCTCTGGGAAACGCTAATGGTGGTTCACCTTCCTCTTTCTTCTATAATCTTGGAAATTCTGTCACTGTTCTCATTTACTCAGTGAAGGCTGAATGGCAGCTAATCACATCGGATGTGTGCTGGCTCACTCTTTCTGCAAAACGTATTCCAGCATTTCCCATTTCGGAGCACCGTCCACAGACACCACCATGGACAGATCCTGAGCCCAGGGTCACGGGCTGTGGGGAAAGCTTAGGCTTCTGGGTCACCTCTTCCCCTCACAGACTAGTATAAACTGTATGAAGGATTCTTCTTTTCTTTTGAGACAGGGTTTCTCTGTGTAGCCCTGGCTGGCCCAGAACTCACTCCATAGACCAGGCTGGCCTTGAACTCACAGAGATCCAGCTGCCTCTGCCTCTCATGCTGGGATTAAGGGCGTGCGCCTGGCAGGATTAACAGTCACTCTGTAATACTCCAGTCAAACAGCATGGAGATTAGGGGAAGAACCCAATCTTGAGTCAATAAACAATGTGTTATCAATTGAGGTTGGTTTTGCTGTTTTGTTTTGAACTTCACAACAAAAGGACGTGAAACAAAAAAAAAAGTGTCATGATATAGAAAGTGTACCTACAGAGCCGAGTGTGATGGCACATGCCTGCCCCAGCTCCTCTGAGACATCTCACAGGCACTTCAACGGCAGTATATTCATAGCAAAACACCAAATTTCCATCCATGTCACACAGGTGCTACAGAACTCTGAGCTTTTCACATACAGTTTTAAAAAAATTATCCCTGAATTGTTCTTACAGTGTGAGCAAAGAATATCAGTCTGTACATAAGTACATATGTAGATGTACCACACATACGTGTATATATGTGCATATCAATCTGAACATAAGTACATATGTAGATGTACCACACATGTGCATATATGTGCATATCAATCTGAACATAAGTACATATGTAGATGTACCACACGTGTACATATGTGCATATCAATCTGAACATAAGTACATATGTAGATGTACCACACATATGTGTATATATGTGCACATCAATCTGAACATATGTACATATGTAGGTGTACCACACATATGCATTAATGCAACCAAGAGAACGAGGGGCTGAATAAATTAAAGAAATGTTTCTACATTCACAGAGCAGAATGCTTCTCCTGAACATCAAACACTACCTTCATTCACTGTAACAGAGGACAAAACGCTCCCTTAACATACCTGAAAAACGTATGATGCTCTACGCTGCACTTCCAGAGATGCCGGCAAGCAGTTTTGCTGCGAGCTTCAAAAAAGAACGAGGTTTCGTTACACTGCAAGAGACAGGAAGGGAACGCAGGTCACTGGCTGCCACGCTCTGTGCAGGGCGGCCCTGCTCGAGGGAACAGAAACTCAGATGGACAGGGATTAGCACCGAAAGACAGCTATGTCTGGAAGGGTGCCTGAAAGATGACTTTCCACTGTCGACAATTACGAAACAAACTTCTATTTAAATCTCGGCGCAGTCACCTTTATTAACTCCTTCTGTGTCGTCTCGGGACTATGGATAACCCAGGCCATGGCACGGGAATCCTGCAAGGCTGTCCATCCTAAGTGGCCACTGTGTGCACCAAACACTGTGGAATTCAGCTCCTAACAAAGAGGGGGGTGTCCACGCAGTCCTGAACCCTACCGCTTTCAGAGATGGAAAAAAAAATCACACCTAGACTCTGTCGGGAGTGTCTCAGGAAGAAGCAGCGAGGGGGACAGCCTCCACTACACTGAACTATTAAGCAGATAAAATTCAATTCTATGAGAGATGCAGCGTGCCATGCAATAGGTACACAAAAATTTTAATTGCCAGTTTAATCTAGTGGTTATTTCATATATAAGAAACTAAGAACACATTAAAGGTAACCATTTGTGTGTGTGTGTGTGTGTGTGTGTGTGTGTGTGTGTGTGTGTGTGTGTGTGAAATGCTATTTTCAATGTCTAAACAGAAAATCAAGCAAAACAGAGTAAGCACCAGGAGCTCTATGAAGTTAAACATTGATAATTTAGCTTCAAATTTAAAAATCAAATGCTAGCCTCCAACACAGCAATTCTTGTGGAATGGGTTTCCTATGAACTCATCAACACAATATTGGCAGTGCACAGGACTAACTGGAATATCTGTCTACCGCTCTAACAAGGAATGTAACCTTTGTATCTGTGAAGTTCCTCCCAAGCCCAACTGGAATGACGCTGCCTAACTTAGGAGTCTATTTGTAAAGACTAGGGTATGGCAGAAACGTGGCCAACACATCCACATCACAGCAAAGCTAGCCCAATACCAAAATCGTATGAGGTAAAGGAAGAAATGTAGGGAACCCCTCAGGTCTCTGTCGACGTGTTACGGTTAGCAGAGAGCAAGCGGGGAACACTGGAGATAACGGACAGTAAGGTCAGGCCAAGATACTAAGTTGAAACGTCCACAGAAGACCAAGTGGGCCAGGAAGCACACGGGTGCCCCATGCAAAAGAGAGGCCATACTTCCTGACACAAGCCCTGTCCCCTGAGAACACTTAAGATGGCCAGAAGAGAGCGCAGGACGATGCCTGTGAGGTGGGTCAGGATGAGCGAGGGTGACAGAGAGGCTGGGAAGAGACAGCTCAAGTCTCAGGGGACACAGGAAGGCCAAGTGGGGTTCAAAGGCAGTTACTGCTTTCCATTGTGAGACGACATGGTGACTTTTGTGCAAGATGGAGGACTCTAAAAAGAGATGAGGGAGAAATCCAGTGGCTTCAGAACACCTTTTCCTTGACAGCAAAAGAAACTGAGGCTGGGGAGGAGCAGAGACCGGGGCAAGGTAAGAAAGCTCAGGCTCCCATGAAGAGATGGGAGTGCCAGGAGAGAATCTCTCTCCTTCCGGTTTCCTTCTCAAGCACGTATATATATCACACAAAAGCACACGGTACCCAAGGTGGATTCACAGTAACAATTCAGTTCCCACTGCCACAGTGACAGCCTGCCACTGTCCCCACTTCCCATCTCCCGACACGGCCACCACTGGATGGTCCTCACTACACTGCCCAGGTCACTCATTTCAAAGTTGGCCTGTGCGTGCATCCTACAGGGGTACGTCACAAGGAAAAGAGACTGCCAGGGCAGGCTGCCTCTCCCTGTGCCACACATGGTGACAGGCCATCTCCCTGCAATTCTCAACAATGGAAACACCAGGTGTGGCAGTGCACACTGGGCCCCACCATGGCTGGCAGACAGCAGCTGAAGCCGGTCTCGAGCACACTCACGTTTCAGCAAAAGCACCCGTCAAGAAGACACGTACATGCCTAAGTCAAACTTCCAAAAACCTGAATTACATAGACCCCCACATTTCCAAAAGCACAGGGGAAATTTAAAACTGTCCCGTCTGTTAAACACAAAACATTTCCTCCTAATTTCAAACTTTCCTTGGATTGTTTTTCACGTTATCCTTCACATGTCTGTATTATTTTGTTTCTCTGATTGAAAGCCAGTCAAGGGCTATCTAATTCTTCATATACATTTTAATCTATCATCACTTAATGGGAAGATAAAAGTCAGTTCAAATCCAACTGGAACTTGGTTTTTCTCGAATTTTCTTGGGCACAGACAGAGGGACAGAAGAGCCTCCCACAGGGCTAATTACCTCTGCCGCGAACAAGTGCAAGTATGAACTCATTCCCATGCACACAAGGCTTCAGGTAAGCGGCCTCTTTTCTGTTGTATTACTGACAGAATGATTCAAACACCAAAGGAAGATTAACGTCACTAACACAGGGGCCAGGTATCCTGAGTAAACTCTGTGACTTTTGTCATGCGCTGCTGGCACCAGTGAGCTGACGAGGCACTTCGGGACCATTTCAAGACAGACGTGGCCGTTCACACACCTCCATTCATCCCACTCAGCAGTTTAACAGAAGAAAGCAAGGCATTCTGAGCAACAGCTAAGATACCCTATCCAGCACTCAAGGCTTGCTAAGTGACTCCAACACCTTTAGAGCTTTCGTCATTCACGCTACAAGCAACGCTGCTGTCTGCATCTCTTCTTTCGGTCGATAAGTTAACCTCTGTATCTAAGACAGAATGTGGACATCACTGTCCCTTGTGCCTCTAAGGAGAATCAAGTGGGGCATGCCCTTGATGGTACTATTCGTAAGAATTCAGAACCTGTGTTCTATCCACAAACTCCCAACCGAGCACCTTTCATCCCCTAGGTCTCTCTGCTCATGGCTGCCGGCTGCGTCTCATAGGAGCTTAAGGAGGGGGAGGAGGGAGGTGGCTGCTCTGCTCTGTCCCTGTGCGGTCACCGTCACTGCTGATCACAGATGTGGCTTACGCGGCCAAGGCACAGCTGCTCAGGCCTCTTAGCCCACTCCATTCTCCGTGTCTCTCAAGCCTGTGCTCCTGCCACAAGAGTCTGTGTCACAGAGACCTATGTTCAACCGGCTTCTCCGTGTTTCTATGGAGACACAGTTACGGGGGGCGTCCTGCCTTTCCTCAGTCCCTTGGAATTATAGCACATTCACAGTCCTAGCAAATATTTCCTACATCCAAGGCCACCAGAAGTAACTCCAGATATATGGGGCGGGGGTGGGAGGTGGGGGGGGGGAGATAAGATCCTTCAGTGGGTAAAGGCAGATGGCCTGACTTTAACCCCTGGGACCCACATGATGGACAGAGAGAACGGAAGTTGTTCTCTGACCTCCACACGTGTCCCCCCAACATATATACAAGCACTCACACATACAAATCCAGAAATAAAAGTAATTTTTAAAGATGCACTGCGCCGGGCGGCGGTGGCGCACACCTTTAATCCCAGCACTCGGGAGGCAGATCCAGGTGGATCTCTGTGAGTTTGAGGCCAGCCCGGTCTACAGAGCAGATCCAGGACAGGCGCCAAATCTACACAGAGAAATCCTGACTCGAAAAAAAAAATAAATAAAAATATAAACAAACAAACAAACAAATAAATAGATAAATAAATAAAAGATACACTGCATGGCCCACTGGGGAGCAAAAGAGATTGGTGTTCCTAAGATGGTAAGCTATAGTCATTCTGCAAATACCTGGAGACTTGTGGCAGAGACACTTCCTACCCAGGCCTCGCTGAGCAGCAGGAGAGGCTCAAGAGAAGCACAATGTTTGAAATACTGTAGATGTTCTTCCATTCAATCTAAACAGTATTTTGTACTTTTAAACTTATTTTAGGCATGGAGGGAGAAACAGAAAGAATAAGAAACGTGATAGCAAATGACTAAAATAACTTCCTTCTCAACTACTCATAAAGCAAAGGCAAGCAGTGAAATCGGGAAACATACACGTTCTTCGGTTAGAAACTCACACCAGAGACACAGAATTTGAAGTAGATAAGGAAATTTCATCTTTCAAACGGTGAGATTGCACGGCCGCTGTTTTAAACACAGAATTATGCGGGCATACATGAGACACTGGGCATGATGTTGGTCTCAACAGCTTCTCATCATCTTTCACTACTCTTTCTTCAAGTTCAAACCCCATTTTTAAAAATGCCACTCTTGTTATTACTTGAAAAGGGGAGTCGGAAAGAACTGTTAAAGTTCTGAGTTTACCTCACCTTGTTCTCCCAAGCTAAACTTTACAGAACACCCACCCCCAAAGGGTAATTCTCACAATGCTAGTGCCTTAAGGTATTTGCGTAAATAGTCTTTGGGATGTCAAGTAAGTATGGAGCATGCTGGGTAACCACTCACATCTAATGTGGGTCTAATGTGGTTGTATGCACTGTCAGTGTCCACTGGGCAAGGCACTGGGGTGTCAACAGAATTAATTTGGACAAAGAACTGTCTGCATCTTAAGAAAATATTTTTTAAGTCCCCCAGTTTGAGAAGATAGGATTACAAACATTCCTCTACATACATGCATCATGTACAGTATGCATATATGTTCACATCCATTATAAACACTTTTGAAATGTGTCTAGCACAGCTTTGTTTGGTTTGGGTTTTTGTTATTTGTTTTCTGAGACGAGGTCTCACTATGTCACCCTGGTTGACATTTCTGCATAGTCAAGGACCTAATACAAGGGCTGGGGATATACCTGAGGTGATATGCTTGCCACTCAAGGACTAGGACCTGGAAATTGTCATCAGGAAATAGCCTAATAACACTGTTGCGCTTGTCCAAGTGAAGGTCTAGATATCTGGTAAAATATCCCGAGTTCTAATGGATTAATTCCATTTATTGACATTTAATGGTAATGATAGTCTTCACTCTGAAGTTTTTATTCCTTTTGAAAAAGTGGTTTAACCTGTTTTAATCGTGGAGAAAGTCAACA